GACTTAAAACTGTTCATTCCCCAAATGAAAAGTGTGCATGTTAACACAAAAAAGAAATCTGTGAGGCTGCTTTACAGGTTTGTCATGTCCTGTACAGTCAGTGCAGACATGCTGTTGTGTGCTAAGGGTGAACAGAGATATCCTTCAGACAAATGTGATCTCTGTATTCATTGAAACTCAGTAATGCAAGTAGATTGTGTTTGAATGAGTAAGCATATGCTACTTTGCTCAGCTATATCAAGTTTTGCCCTTCCCAACATCTCGTTCTATGAATACCTTTGTGTGGGAATTCTGCAAGACTAGCATTTTTACCTGATTTGCTAATAAAATAGCCAAGTCTTATATGCAAATCAAATTTATGGATGTTCTATTTCGGTACGTGTTCATCAGCTCAACAATATGGAAAGTTTATCAAGTAAAAAAGTTTTCTTATTTATATACACTATATTTAGAACTCCTTGGGTATTCCATATATCTATTTCTCAGAATAAGTACATTTCTATTCTTTCTTGTCACCCTGAAGATAGGTACTGGTCTAAGATCTTATATTCATGTGTCCATTCTAAAGGTAATCAAATTATTCCCCACTAATAGATCAGGATGCATTTCTTGCTTAAATATGTGACTATGTTCTTTTGCTTTGACTTTTAAATCATGGAAGCTTGTAAGAAAATGTAAATACACCTGAAGCAGATGCATGCCTGGAAAGAAGCCTTTCTAAATGGAGAAAATAAGGGATTGCTTATTAGGGAAATGCTTACTGCCTTCTAGAAATGTACAGGAGAAGCTTCATCTGCTTTCTCTCATCTCATGAAAATAAGATAGATGGAATTTCTATTCAGAAACTTTGGTTTCTGTGGTATGTGTCTGGAAATAAGTTCAACCAAGGATGATGTGGCTGTAGAAGAGTCTGTGCTGCTGGAAATAGATATGTCAAGTGTGGCAGGCACTTGTGTTGGGATATGCCCATGCAGATTCCAAAGGAGTGCGTTCTTGGATTAGCCAGTTACCTCTTTTCAGTACCTGGAAAGTAGTTAAGGTCTTCACATACATAAAAACTTTTTGTGTGCATGTAACCTAAGTTTTTGATTGAATTAATCATTTTAACAGTAAAACTCACTTTGTGGATTCTTAGAGTATCATTTGTTCTCACTGAAGTTCCATTGTAAAAAGAAAAAAAAATGTAACTTTTTAGGGAAAAAAAAAAAGAAAATGCTCAAATTAATATAAGGAAAGATGCCATACTCCTGGAGTCAGATGATTCATAGTAGATCATACAGATATAGCTGTTGACTTGTTACAAAAGGGCCAAGTCCAAGTAAACTGTGGTTTTCCTGTCTTGCTATTTTTTTTTTTTCTTGGAGATAAAAGGAATACTGAAGCTGCACTGAAAAATATTCTAATTTGAATGGCTCTTGACTCTACCTGACAGGAGATCTTGAAGATACTGAATTTACCATCTTGCACCATAGATGGCAAACTAGACATTTGATTTTACTCTTTTTTTTTTTTCTTTTTTTTTTTTTTCCAACCCCTCATTTAGTGGGCAGTGCATTGCTTTTGTATCACTGGTGTTTCTCTAGCATCTATTAGCTGCTTGGGTTCTTGTACCAATGCTATTATTACTTGTGATAGGGTTTTTTCTTTATTTTTATTTTTTTTTGGATGGCAGAGAATTGTGCCTGAAAGCAGGTAATACTGCCTTTTAGTCTTTTTTCAGCGTTTTCAAGCAGAACTTGATTTTTAGTTGCACATAACTGTGCTAGAATGGAAAATTCCATTCCAAGTTATATATTAGCTGCCTTCGGCCTTTATATGGAAAATTTTAGCAAGTATATTCATTTTTTATAAGAAGTAAAACTTGATGGATGGTACGTTTCCACTCTACTAGAGGAAAAACTTTAACTGTTTTCTCTTAGAAAAATTCTCTGAGGCAGATGGTCTCCATTCAGTATGTCTTCTGTTATTCATGTGTAAATTTATTTTAATTTGGCAAAGTTATTAGCCTTTGAATTAGGTTTAAAAGTCCATAATGAGGATGGATAGACTTTTGCAGCTAAAAATAACAAAGATGCTGTATTGAATGTATTTTATCACAAGCAGGAATAAGCAGAACTTTATTTTCAGTTTCAATAAGCAGATGCTTCAGACAGGGGTGAGGATCAAGAACTTGGACACGGGAAAGTGTTTTCAGGCTCAGTGTGATTTTTGTAATCTCTGTAGAGGATTGGGAACTCTAAGTGCATGTAAATAAAGAGGTGGGGTGGAATTTTTAGGTATCAGAGTTGAGGCCTGGGGAGAAAAGAACTTTTCCAGTGTCTGGATGGGGTGTGAGACTGAGAACTGTGGTGCTTAAGTCTTAGTTGATAATAAGTGATTTGGCGCAGGATGGGGTGAAGGAGACATATGGGGCATGAACAAAGGCTGTCCCATACTTGCTGTATCCATTGGTATATGTTAATTAGAGAAGGATTTGTCCCCTTCATTCGTTTCAGCAAATTTATCCTGATCTCTGAGTGAATTGTGATTGTGTACTAATAGAAGCTCATGTCTGTAGCATTTCTGCTTCCTTCCTTCCAAAACTTAGAATGGCATGTACTGATGAAAGATGGGGAAAAGTCCTGTAGCTGTGTTCTGCCTGCACTTATTCTTCAGTTCCTATACAATACAATCAAATCACAGGCAGTCAGGTTTGGTAGTTGCAGGGGGGAGAGGGGTTTGTTTGGGGTTTTTTGGTGTTTTTTGGTGTGTGGTGGTTTTTGTTTTGTTTTGTTTTGTTTTAACAACCATCTGGGATATCTAAATCTGATTAGCAGCTACAAATGTAGCCTATGGAAGCAATGTTTTGAATATGCAAAGCGGTAAAAAAAGGGAGGGAAACTATGCAAAGTCAAGTTGTAACTCTGCTAAACCCCTCTGTGAAATTTCTAATCTCATGGCCTGTAAGTTTTCCATTGCATAGGTAAAAAAAGTAATACTGGGTCTCTGGGATGCTGTAAAACTAAATGAATGCAATCAAACACATGATGAAGGTTACTATAGAAAAGTACCGTTTAAAAATGAAATCGTATTTCCCATCAGGGATTTGAACTAATGAGCAATGGGAAAAGATGTGTAGACCCACAAAGAACAGAGGAAAAAGTAAACAACATAGAATGATGATTGTTATTTGTCAGCAGTATTGACTTGCATGAGGCTAGTGGAAAAACTCATATGTGCTTTTCTGAGGCTAAACCACAGTGAAATCTACTCACACCAAAGAGCTGGATTAAAGCTGCATGAAAAACATTGCTTCTAATACTTTCCAAATTTGGGGTGTTTGTTTTTCAAAACTGAAGCTAATTTTCCTGTGTAAATTGTAAGTAAATAACATAATACTTAAACTTGCTCTAAGATAATTATATTTCATTTACCTTATTAATATTGAGAAATAAAAGACAAGGAGGCTTACTAAACATGCAAAGCGTATTACCTGTCTAAATCTTACCTTACTACCTGCACTGACTGCAGTTATGGGAATTCTAGAAAGGCCGTCTTCTAAAACACTTTTAGAAGCTTTGGAGAAAATAATGTCAATCTGAAATACTGCACAGTACTGCAATAGAATAGATGTAACAGAAAGTTCTACACACAAAAAAAATAATAAAGCTAAGTTGAAAGTGTTTGAAAAGAAACACTGTCTTACAAAGCTGGCTTCCATTCTGCTTGTAACTATGTGTTTTTTACCATATTTTAATGGAACACACATGATAAAGGAATGATTAACCAAGCAGAGGAAAACTGAGCGTGTCTAGTAATTCTGAATATCCCATAAAAATACTTGTCGTGTCTGCTAAAAAAATGGGTTATATTTCCTGTGAAGAGCCACATTAAATATGAACTTACTCAGTGTATAGGAAAAGGCTCAGAGATGGTAGCAACTTATTGCTGATGTAGTAATCCCACACTCAGTTTAAGAGTTTGTCTTCAAGACTGATTTAGTTTACACCTTGAGTGTAGTTCATTAATTATTTTGGAAACCTAAAAGCCATTTGACTGCATTCAGTAATGTGATTCATTATCCTTGCGTCAGAGGCTAATGCATAAAATGATGAAACTTAGAGAAGGATAACAGTGAAAGTGGTAGTAGGATCCTCGATTATTTTTCAGCTTGTAATTCAAGAAGTAGCCCTCCAAAATCTTCCGTAGTAGACAGGAAGTAACACCGTGAGGTGAGGAGGAGGAGATGCATGGGTTTTAGGTAATGAGAATGTGTTGAGGGAATTATCAGTGCTCCTTGGAGAATGTCTGTCCCATTCAGGAGTAGAATTATTTCCTTGTAGTACTACACTTCCTCAGTTATTTCACCTATCCATGATACTATTTAGAGAAGTGTTGACACCTTAAAATTTCACAGATCAAAAATTCTTACTCTCTGTCATGGAGCTAGGTATACAATAAGCATGTATGTTTTGTCCCCATACTGAAATTATGCTGTTTTAACAATTCAGTTTAAAGAAAGTAGGAAAACTTCCACAGGAAAAAATGTTTATTTTGGTATGCATTTATTTTGTATGATTTAGTATAAACTTAACACAGGGTTAGTTCCTTCTTTGCTATTATAATGCAATTTCAAAAAGGAGGGGGAAATAGCCCACAAATACCAGACCCTGAAATGTCATCAAATTTGTCCTATAAAACATGATTAGCTAGCCCAGTGGAACCATTCCCAGAGGGAGCAGGCACACGGAGTGGCAGCAGGCATTCTTCAATTAGGTGTGCAGCGGGCTGTGCTAGGACTTCGAATACTGCTACAGGTGGCAGAGTTGCAACAGTGGGCAAATAGTCTCCCAAGTGAGCTAATGTAGACTTTGCTTAAGAATCATTAACTAAATCCCTGTTTCTTTTCGTGGGAGCTTCAGCTGAAGTCACGTGACCTGATGTAAAACAAGATCATTGCCTATCAGTGCAAACATATGGCAAAGTCTGCCCATGTTATTACTTATCTCAAAGAGCGCAAGGGGGCCGTGACAGTTCAAGCAAAGCCTATTGGTGAGGGAGTTTCTGTGTGAGCCTTCTTAAAGAAGTGCTTCCTTTTTAATCATAATATTGTGTGGGAAAGCGCGCTAGACACTTTTCTCTAAGAGACCAGAAGATTTACATAATTCTTCTGCTTCTATGGAAAGAGAAGAAATGCGGATACAACATTCTGTTATGGCTGTAAGCTTTGCATTTACCTGTACTGTGGAAAGTTAGTTTCCTGTTTTCTGAGATGCATTTCTCAGAACAGGATGGTTTTGAAGATGACTTCAGTAGAAGTGGTGTTGCTGCCCACGAAAGGGTTACTTCTGGAATCTTGGTGAGTTTGACAGATTTATTGCTAAGTATGGGTATATAATTTCCTATAGTATAGTTAAAGTATATAAAAATTGACTGCCTATATTTAATAGTATGTGGAAGACTTTAATTAGGCATTCAATAGACTTACTTTGTTTTCCATTTTTGTTCCATAAGTGCTCTGTGCAGTACTAGGAGCAATCTTAAACCCCACTGGAAATCTTTACTAAGGAGCAAAAATGTTTATTTGCTTGTTTTTGCTGAGTAGACCTGATACTACAGTGGTCTTGTTTCACATGGTCATTTCCCATGAAATGACCCCCCTGTGCCCACCAGTCTTTTCAGGATACAAAATAGACACTAGTAAAACACTAGCTAAAATTTTTCTCTGGTTAAGGAAAACTCCTACCTCATAAATATATATACATACAAATATAGGCAAGATGAGATAAATTGAGGGAAGCCATTGCTATGCATGTTTTTAATTTTGTTTTTCTACCTAATCTCTTAAATGCAACTTCTTTACTGTTTACATCATGTAGCATTAGACTCTTTTAATCCTCTAAACGCATCTCAAAAGAAATGGGATATATAAATATCTACTCACTTGTAAGCTAAGATCTACGTTTAAGTAACTTTTTTTTGTGGTGATAGTTAAAATTCATGTTCTCTAAAGCTGTATCTCTCTAGAGCAATCTGATTGCCTTTGAGTAACTTGCACTCTGCTTTTTCTGTTGTTGAACTGGACATTTGTAGTGTTCATATTCATAGGGGTGCACCTGTATAAAAGGTGTTGGCTTCAAGAACACAAAAATCACACGATTTAGCTTTACTAAAGCAGTACTCAAAATGCATAGAAAATTCATGGACAGCCTTTTGATTATGTCTTGCACTTGTTTATGGATAATACTGAACAACATAAAATTATTCAAGAAAATGTGTTGGTTGGTTTTGTAGCAGCCAAAATAACATCTTTGTTAATAGTACATAGATATAATTCCTATCCACAAAACCTCCTGCTCATGTTATGCTAGTGTAAGCCTTTCCTGGTGATGAGTTTTGAAAATTTGGCTACCTATCATGTAGAACATGTCAGATGCTTGATCTGAACTGTAGTACAGTTTAATCATAATTTCTAAGTGCCATTCTATTTCTCACTGCTGTAACATGAGCAAGTCAACCAACATATGCAGGGCTAGTTTTAGTTTAACTGATTTGAGTATTTTGTAGATGGAGGAATAGAATTTTAAGTGCTTGAACTTTCAAAGTAATATTTTCTCTTCTTATTTCGTATTTAGTATTATGTTCTCTCAAAGAAAAGAAGAAGCAGTTTCAGTTTCTGCCTTTTGCAGTGTAATGGCTTCTTGCCAGGAAAAAATCTTTTTTGTGATATAGGACAGAGAGATTCCCCCATTCCAATTACAGTGGCACTTAGCTTAGTAATATTAATATATTGGGCTGTAAGAATTTTTGCATAAACGTTCAAAAATCAGCCTCTCTGGTCAAAAGTCACAAAAAGTGTGTTTCTGCTGTGAGACTGTAGGTATTGATAGCCTTTAAATTTGCTGTCCTGGAAGAGTAAGTAGTGGTGAGCTACATTAGCTTTTATTCATAGTTCTGGAATTTGACTACATCAGGTAATGTATATACTCTGTGTATCAAAATAAATAAAACTTTAAAGCTAAAAAGTATTGTGAAATATTGCCGCATTGCCCTTTTTGAGCTTGTCTTGTCCATCAGACTCTATCTTGAATTGCAGAACTGGAAATTGGAAATTTTTTAGGTTGTGAAGGTGCATTGCTCTTTACTTTTCTCTGCTTTCAGGACAATGACATTTAACAAAAGTTTACTAAGCATGAAATAAAGAGTCTTATTGAGGAAGTACTTTGTCTTACCAGTTGTTCTGTGATAAGGCTATTTCTGTCTCATTTGCAAGATGTAACACAGTACCATTTTATGATGTTTCGCTCTGTAGTCTGGTTCAGTACTGCTCACCACAAGTTTTCCAACAATGTGCATTAAAACTTAAAGCAAAAAAAAAAAAAACCCAAACCAAAAGCACCCCAAATTTTAAAATCTCCTAGGTGAGGCTCTATTGACGTTTGAGATAAATTAAACATCTCATGTTTCTCAGGTATGTAGTGGCGCTTTATTTCTATCTGATTATTTGTTTGCTACAGTTTGAATCTTCTTAAGTAACATGTTTATCTTACAAAGTGAACCATTATGTTTAAAGCTGAACTACAGCTTGGTAAGCAATGCTATAAATTAGTTTCTGTTCTACACTTTTGTTTACTTACAATGTACAAAACAATGTTTGCTTAAGACTTGGATCATAAAAAGCTTCTTTCCTTGTAAACATTGTTTTTAATACTCAATAGGTTCAAAAGTTCATAACTCTTTCACACATAAGAGGTTACTCTATTTATGTATGAACATAAAAGTTCATACATAAATGCTGTGAGCTACAGAAGTATAGCTGAGATCTCTAAAAGAGATAACTTTTGCTACAGGAAGGCAAGAGTATATGTAGAATAGGTGAATGCTTCAGTCTTGTGGGGTTTTTTTGGTGATTTTCTGTGGTTAGACAAGGTCAGTTAGCATGTATGTGAGGAAATCGAGATTATTTATCAACTGAATTAAATTCTTAGCAATTGGTGTGAAATTCTGATCTTTTAAACAGTTGCTACTGAAATGATAGAGAATTCCTTGCTAATGTGCATTTCTCAGTCCTGTTCACTGAAATGAAATATATGGAATGGCAACTCTATTAAGGACTTGTATCCCTGATTGTGCCAAACATTTCTTTTAATGAATTCAGTCTCCTTGGTGACGTGAAACCAAATGTTCTTTGCAATCCAATACCATAAACTTCTCTTGGAAGCGGCCAAGGTATAGCCATGAATGATAATGACTGTGTGTTGGAGATTTTTTCCTAAGATTAAGAATTAAGATTGACTGTCGTAGTGGAAGACTAATTGCTTAAACAGTAAGGCAGAGATACTGCTGCTTTTCCATCTTTGGTTACAGTTCCATGAGATGCAGCAAATATCTCACTTGTCAAAAGGAAGATGTTCAGTTCCCTGCCTTAGCCCTTTTTTTTTTTTTTTTTTTCTTTTTTCCCTCCTAGCTCTCTGGTGCCACTGTGTGTCTCATGACTCTGGTGTTTGTCAGTTCTTAGTCAAGAGCTAATCTAATTTACTAACCACTGAAACAAACAACAACAAAAGTGGGTAGACTTCTGCCAGTTGTGTCAGTGAGCTAAAATCAGCTTATTAAGAGGGTCAGATGGGGAAGAGTTGAAATGAGACCTCCCTTTTTTGCTATTATTTCATTAGCAAGCAGTCAATATTATAGTTGTACATTAAACTACTTAGAGATGAAACTGAATTTTATTAATTGCTGATGTTGATAGGGAGGCCATTCTACTAATCTCATTAGTCACTCAATGTCTGGCTGGTCTTTTTGTCTTCATCAACCATATTGTACAAAAGCTATGGGAGAAAATTCTCCAGTATGTTACTTAGTGTAGTAATTCTGTGGATAATTTCCAAACAGTTTTGAATTTGTTTTGGAAATACCTCATCTTTCTCCAAGTCTTGTGGAGAGGAAGGAAATTTTTTTTTTTTTTCAAAAATCTAAATACGATTCGGTAACGTATGTTAGGCTTGAGAAGCCTGAGATGGAGAAAAATACTTCCGTAGCAGCTCTAAGTCTGTAATTTTAGATTTCCTGCATGTTTATAATTATTTTGGTGCTGTTCAATGCTACAGAAGTAGCTTCCTTTTGAATGAATGCAGTATACCCTGTGTTACTGTAAGGAAGACTTTGAAGGCTCGGAACAGTAGTAATTGATTAATTACCTAGATCATGAAAGCATTTTCAGGAGGAAGAACTCTTGTTTTGTTTAGAGCCATTAAGAAGAATCCTAAACCTTGTTCAGAGGCTAATAAAAATAGATTAGCAAATAGACAAATTCACTGTAGACTTTTTTTTTTAGAAATATCATTTCACAATAGATTTTGTATAATTTAAGCCCTGTTATGTGTTCAGTGTTGTGTTTTGCTTGTTTGCAGTGGGTCTTTGTTTTCCCAAATGCTACCCTTAACTTCAGAGGCGTGCAATTTCTTGGATATATTTGAAATGAGGTTGTAGCAGTCTTTTGGGTGGGAGGCAGGAGAGGGCAGAATAAGAAAGGGTTGCAGTGAGGTTTGCATTAGAAAAACACCTTCATGGTTTTCCCTTCCCTTTCTATCAAAGCTCAGATGTTCAGAGAAATCTTTGGACTCCATTTCTTATTGGCAGTCATATTTCACATTATGTTCTTAGTCTGAAAGACTTGCAGTCATTCAAAATTCATTCACTTAAGAATTTTTAATGGATTAGAATGTGCCGTAAGCGATGCTATGTGTTCTTTGTTTATATTTCTTACTCCTTTCCAGTTTGGCTATAGTATGATCTTCTTATTGTGTGCGTGTTCCTTTCCTTGTATTCTGTCCTGAACTCCCCGATCTCATTTAGTAAGATTTCTTCACCTAGACTACATACCGTTCTTTTTCAATTTTCTGATGTCAAGAGTATGAACAACCACAAAAAAAAAAAGTAAAATACTTGTTTTCTCTGGGCTGAAACTTTGTGGAACCTGTGGAAAGTAGTTAGTGGGTAATTCTTTACACTTAAAATAATATATTTCATGAGTTTGTAAACTTGGGTAAGAATTTAGTGTTTATTCTTCGGGTGTAATTTCTGTTGAAATGATGGTTGTTAGCTAGGAAGCCATCTGCTCGAGGACAGGCAGTGTGTTCAGGACAAGGTCATGTTGCTAGATGCATTGTGCATTTGCAGAGCAAACTTTATACTTCGGTAGCTGTTTTAAATATAGATACTTACAAGTTTCAATAAGCTTCTTAGAGAAGTATACATTTTAACTATAGGTGATACTTACTGTGGTTTTATTGAATCAAAACCTAAGAGGAGACTCTCAATAACTTTGAATATTTGGCATCTTCTACCACAGGTGGAAGTCTTGCTTGCCTCAGTTCTAACTTATGAGGGTCAATGGCAGTGCTCATTATTTTTATGTTGCAAGAGATTTTAGTACTTGTTTTATGGCAAATAAATTCACTGGTGGTGTACTTTCCTTTATATAGAAGGAAAACTGGATTTCTTCCATATTTGTTTTCTCTGTACTCATTCTCAAACTCCTGTCTCCCATTAGATCTTTTGATAATTTTTTAAGGTGACTGCCATTTTTAAAATATGGAAGGGTTGCATTAGGTACACTATACATAACTTTTTCTGACTTCTAAGATTATTTCTTTTCTGCATCCTTATGTACAGTTATCTCCATTTTCAGTAGAGAATAAATTGTATCAAATAGGCAGTCTTCAGAGTATGAATTTGTCTCTAGCTTATCCGAGTAGTTAAGCATGACTTGAATCTAGGCTTTGGCATTTAAAAATTACATGCTTCAGAATTTACTTTAAATTATTTAAATAATCATATGTTCAAGTTAATAAGCTGTTAAGAATAGGTTTTATAACTCCAGTGACTGCTAGTAATATAAGAATTGGCTCAAAATTCTGTTGACTCGAAGGTGTTTGTGTAAAGCCTGTTAAAATAATCAGAGTAATTGATAAATGACACTGCACATCTGTTTAGATGTTTTTTTTAAAAATTGATTTTAAACTTTTTATGTCTTTAAAATTTATTAACTTTTTTTTTTCTTCCTCTCCCTTAGTCTCAGACTATGAACTACGTAGGACAACTTGCAGGACAAGTCCTGGTTACTGTGAAAGAGCTGTACAAAGGCATTAATCAAGCAACCCTTTCAGGATGCATTGATGTCATTGTGGTCCGGCAACAAGATGGTACATACCAGTGTTCTCCTTTTCATGTCCGATTTGGGAAGCTTGGTGTATTGCGCTCTAAAGAAAAAGTGGTAAGTTCAGAAAGTGGGCCAAAACAAAGTTTTGAATACCAATGCATTCCCTTTTTTTCCTCCCTTCCTTCCCCCACACCCCGCCCCCCCTGCAAGTTAGCAGGCTGATTTAGTACAGAGCAGTTTCTCATATATGCAGTACAGAGTGATAGTTTTGGAATACGAAGCAGAACTTCCTGTTGTAATTTCGGGAAAAAAAAAAACAAAACCATCACTATGAAAGAAAAGCTTTGACAGCTCTTGAGCTGTGCAAAAAGAATAATGCAAACATACAGACTTCACAATCGTAAAATATTTAGATGGCTATTTACTTGTTTAAGCATGCTGGGAAAGAAATGCTTGATGTCATTTTACTCATCCCTGATGTTGCAAGCAACTATTTTTGGAATGTCTGGAGGATAAATAGAGCATATCTGAAGGGTTGGTGACCTATCATAAATATTACTCCTTGTTAGCTCTGTTCAAGGTTGATATGCCGTAGAAAATGCAGTTATTAAGCAGGACTGAAGCTTCATTCACTCATGAGTATATTGAAAAAAAACCTGGTACAATTACTTACCCAGCCAGTCTGAGACTGTGGCGCTAGCAGAGTGGATTGTTATGCCATCCCCTTTCCATAGGCTTTAGTAATTGTGCCTAGGGAGTCAGTTTGATGGGGTTGTAAATTTGACTAAAAAATGGACCTATTGTGGGAAACTTTACGTTACTCTCAGCAGGGAGTACTGTGTGTCTGGCAGTATTGCCTGTGGGTCTGCTACCAAAGGATGGATTGATTTAAACAGATCATAAAACCTCAGGATTATGTGCTGCTTTACTAAGAAGTGAAAGGACACTGCAGGAAACTACCTGCATCTTTATATTTTGGCTGTAAAAGGAGAATAAAGTGCAACTAAGAGAGCAGTTACGTTAGGGCATTTTTTTGTTAACAGTCGTACTGGGAGTTATATGCATTAAAATTGTAAGTTTATCATAGTAACACAGGCTAACAGCAGTTTTCTTGTTTCATATTTTTGTTTTGATTTCCCACTTGCTAGTGTTTTTCATAATGAGCACACTGATGACACAAAGTTGTTTTTTCCTAAACAGTTCTGCGACGAATTACATTACAGTTTTTCATCAAGGTACAAGAGAGGTGGTGTAGCTGTACTTTTTCTAATGTCTAAGATACGCTTACAACAGGAGTGGTCTGAAACTTGAGCTTACTAAATGTCTTTAAGTACACTTCTGAAGAGCTCAACCAAATTTGAGAGAATTTCAGCTTCCAGGTACCTCGAAAAAGGTGTTGAGTAGTAGAAACATCTACATTGGTACCTGCTGTACTAGGCTGTCAGCGTAGTTCTCAGCTTTTGCTTGAGGGGCTGGCTGCTGCTTCTTGCTCCCTTCATCCTTGGAGTTGTTGTTCTGCATTTGAATATTCTTTCAGTAGTCAATTGAATGTTTATTACTGCATTGTGTGTGCATTTTTCTCTGGCAAATTCAGTGTTCCACTCAAATATGAAATATTATGAAGCTAAGATCAATTGGTAGTCTCAAGCTGTATGGGAACACAAAATACACTTATCTGTGTTTCAGCTGTTCTTGAGATGTATACTGGAGTGTGCAGAAATCAGCATGAGGTATAGGTACTAAAATTAGGGATGTTTGTCTGTCTAAACCAGCTTAAAGAAGTAAATTTTTTTTGAAGATTCATGCTATTGAATTGGAAAATCAAGAAAATATTTTAAGAATAAACTGTTCAATAGTGAAATAAATACTGTTTTCAGATCAAACCCATTAATTTCTTGTGGGGAAAAAGAAAAACTGTATCTTAGTGATTTGAATATAGTCCTCATGCATTTGGGTTATCTACCTGTAATTTATCATCTCCTGTGATTGGTTTTCCTTGTCTAATGTTTTTATTCTCATAAATAGGTGAATAACGAAGTGGATTTGAATACATGGATTCTGTCTTAGCACTGTGGGGATTTTTTATTGGCAGTCCATGTGCCAATCTTAAAACTAGTCCCCTTTCCTTTTTGACTGTTCATTTCATATCATGATAGCTAACTACGGATATGAGTATCCATATTGTAATGCTAGCTGTGTGGCTTGGGATGTAATTCATTCTTTTGTATTGACAAGAAACTAGAACTGGAGTAATGTACATATTTGTTATCTCATAGCAATTACAGTATTTAACTTGATCTCCTTTTGATAGAAGTGTCTAAATTATATATAACCTGAAATGCTATTGGCATTTTCTACAGTAAGGCAAGTCCATCGTGTATCTATCTGACATGTATTAAATTATTTTTAATTAGCTAGGCTAAGCGCAGATGTAGAGATACCATAAGATAAGCAGATTTACTGAAAATTAATGTAACTTTATCTGAATATTGAATGTACTTTCTTTGGAAAAAATTGGGATGGAACTTAACTGGATGCTCAAGATTTCACAAAGAGGAGAAAGTAAAATAGTTGTATCTTGATTTTAGAAAGACACTTGTTTTTTTCTTTTATTTCATACATGTGGGAAAGGATAATCGCTCCCTCCTGTGCAATGTAATCTAAGTTAATGTACCTTTTTATCAGAATATAAAACATTTTTCCACAGATGAAAGCACTATTGTTGCAAAAGGGTTGTGGTCCTATGTCGTATCCCCATAAACTCGCAAGCAGGAAAATCTGAAGCAACATTAACTGAGTTGCAGCAATAATTGTGGCAAATATTTATCCTGTTGAAACAGAGTCTGCCTCCAGGAGGCTTCCAGTTTGTTGTCTTGAACTTCTGGTGTTCAGGACTCGGATTTGTAGTAGGCCCCAGTTCAGGTTGAACTTTTTAATGTGTGAACGTGAACAGTCTCATTCATCCTTCATCATTCTTCCAGGAAATAAATACTAGATCAATTATTATTATTCATGCTTCTAGCTCTTCCGATTAGTTGATCAAGATTCAGTCTTCAGATGTTTGGGGTTTTTTTCCCAATTTTTGGTGTAGGTGTTAGGCTCTCTGCTAGGAGCATAATGCATTTTGGAGGTTAACAAAACAAAGATGATTATTATAACAGACTTCCTTCAGAAAGCAGAGGGAGGAGAAAGATATATGATTATACAATGGAACAAAGTTTACTCTCAGTGACGTGGGCCTTGAGGTCAGTGCTTTCCACTGTGATGAATTATTTACATTAAATTGTCTCTTTCCACAGATTGATATAGAAATAAATGGTGATGCTGTTGATCTTCATATGAAACTGGGTGACAATGGAGAAGCTTTCTTTGTACAAGAAACTGAAGAGGAAAATGTAAGGCTTTTGTGCTTCATGGTGGCTACAATGCGGTACTGTTGATAATATTGTAACTTTTATGAAGGGTGTATTTTCTGTGACTGAATCTTAACAGCACTTTCATATGCTGCCAAAATGCTTGGTGTTTTGTGAAATTCTGCTACCAGTGATAAAAAAGTAACTAATTCTTTTTTATTATTCTTATTATTTTATTAGAGCTTTATTTGAAATATTAGTTGATTACTTTTTTACTTTGTTTCTTGTTCACTGCGGTTACAGTTGCACATCACACACAGATTGCAGTGACTTATAATAATAACTTTGGCCTTAAGTTCTTATGGCTTGTGTTACTGACCTCTGTATACTGATAAAGCTTATCTAATTTGGTATATTTTTAATTTGTCTTACAACTTTTTATTACAGTTTTTCACAATTTTATCTATGAAACTTTCACTAGTTAACAGTAAATTTGACTTGAGAATTCTTGTATTCTAATACAGTAATTATTTTCCCAAGAACCTATTGTGGCTGGAAGCTCATGAGCCTCTGAAAAAGAGGAGTAATGGTTCATTTTTAGTCTGATTTCCTAAGGATTTGAGACCTATGTAATCACAAAATTACAGCTCCATCCTGAGCTTTGGTTTTGATCACTTTTGAATCTCATGGCATTTTTCAGCAAGGCAGAAGGAAAGAATTTCTACATACAAAGTTCTAAAACAAAATTCTTCTAAGACAAAATTCTGTCTCAGTGAAGTAACAGATGAAGAATTCATTTCCTGTTGCTATCAGTAATCAGAGTCTTTCAAGGAAATTAGCTTGATCCACTTTTTAGTTTAGGGCGCTACTTGTTTACTGGGAGGGATTGGTTGCAGGAAACTGTCACTTTGAAATAAGTTAAATATAATTTAAAGCAGAAAGAGAAAATAAGCAATAAGATCCTGAATGATAACTTGGGGTAGGAGTTCATAACACTTAAGAGAAAGGAAGGTTGGGTTCTGATTTAGCGTACACCATGACTAAAATCAAAACTGAAAGCTGTGTTTATAGAAGTAGGCTGTGTCAGCCATTGATGGGAAGTGATCAGTCTTCAGACTGTCAGAAAGCAAGGGTGATAACCACTACCTTTGTCCCCAGTACAATGTTTTAAAGAAGCTATCACACTTGCTTAGTATATTCTCATTTATAACAAGAATGCCTTATCTGTGAATAACGTGTTCTGGAAAGCTGGTAGTTATGCTGAAACTATAGATTGAGTTAGCTACAAAGCAGAGGACTGAGATTTTTTTTTTTAGTGCTTTTAGACATTTTTTTTTCTCCCAGTATTTCTGCTACTGATCAACTTGACTTTGTGGTCACCTCTTGAAGCTGTGCTTTAAGATATAAATGATAAAACTCTCATTGAGTTCTTAATGTATTCAGAAAGGTTCATCCGAGTGGTCAGTCTTTGCTGTTTTCATATCTTGACATTCAAAAGTAACACCACATGCCTCAATTCATGTAAATCAGGACTATTATAATGTAACATTCAGGCATCATTTTTCAGCCAGTTTTCTTTTAACTTTTCTTCTGGTTTGTTTGTTTGGTTTTGTTTTTATAATTCTGTCTTGTTATTCTGGGTTATTTATTAATAATTGTATAGGATATTCACTTTATTTTAGGTGGTATTATTTTATGTGGAGATTTTTCACAATGCAAAAATCTGTGAGTCATTAGTGCTGTATTTTGTTCTTCTTTCTCTGCTTTACTTTATAACCAGTGGAACAAAACTTGATCTGTAACTCTTAACTCAATGGAAAAATTGAATTTAATATTAAGAAGTAGCAGTTCAGACTTTGAACACATCAAAAGTGGTATCAGTGCTGTGGCTGTTTCTGATACAATGTAGTTCTTGACTAATCTGCATAAAAGTTCTGTAAAACAACAGGCATCTTGTATTTATTTATACACTTGCCATGAAACTGAGCCCATAACTCTTTCTCCCTAGTATGCAAATTCCATTCTCTTCTACTTTTGTTCTACTTTGTCTTTATTCTGTCACAGTGCTTTTCTTTCAGTTTAGGTGTCATTATTTTTAAGGTTTTTGTTGTGATGTGTGTAAGCATCAGGTAGTTGATTGGTAAAGCTTTTCTTTCATTTGAATTGTTCCTTCCACGGACAGTGAGTTGTAATTAATTGAGGGTTGGTGTTTGCTTGTGGGTTTTAACCTGAGTAAATTATAGTTGAGTTTTTCTTTTTGAAAGATACTTTACATAAATAGTGTCTGACATGGATGACAAGACTGAATGCTCCCTCACTAATTTTGTGGGTAACACTGAACTGGGATGAGAGGTAGACAGTCCAGAAAAAGAGCCACCACATAGAACCAACTTGGCAGGCTGGGAGAGTGGACCAACAAGATTTGCACAATATTTAGCCAAGATATATATGAAGTTCTGCATCTAGTTTGGAAGAATTCCCCACAGCAGTACAGGCTGGCGTCTGACTGCATAAAATGCATCTCTGCTGGAGAGGCCGACAGCATGCTGTGGCAGCAATGAAGGCAAACATGTCCTAGGCTTCATCAGCAGGAGCAGAGCCAGCAGATAGAGGGATGTGGGATTGTCCCACTCAGTACTTGTTAGGCCAAACCTGGAACGCAGTTCTGGCCTGCTGAATTCTGGTCTCCTCCAGTTCAGGAGAGAAAATAGGAGTCCAGTGGAGAACCACCAATATGATCAGAGGTTTGGAGAAGTTAACATGGGAAGAAAAGTTGCTGGAATTGACTGTGTTCAACCTAGAGAAGAGAAGGCTCAGAGGGAATCTAACCACAATCTTGCAATACCTACAAGGTAGTTGTAGAGTAGACAGAGGCACTGTCTTTACAAGGGATGCCTGGTGATAAGACAAGGGGCACAAGGGGGAAATACTGTCTGGATATAAGAAAAATTCTTCACTATGACAACAGTATAACACAAGAACAGGTTACCTAGAGAAGAGGCAAACTCTCCCTTACTGGAAGTACTCAACATTTGGCTTGACAGGCCCTGGATAACCTGACCTAAGGCCCTAGTTTCACCAGAAGATCGGACCAGAGGATTTCCAGATGTCACTTCCAACCTACACCTTTTTATGCATCTGTTTCAAAATTAGTAGACAGCAGTGGATTTAATTAGCCTATTTTTATTAACACATTTACTAAGCATGGATAGAGCTGGTGTGCTCAAGGGCAGATAATTTCAAAAACATTCCACTGACTGGAATATTTGTTCTGTTTTGCTTACAAAATCAGTTGTATGTGTCTGAAACTGTAAGAATACTAACATTCATTTTCCTGAACTTCTGTAATCCTTTTAGTGAACTTGAGTCCTTTCTGGATATCAGCCTCATACTGCTGGGCTATTGTATGGTTTTGTGTTTAAATATAGATGCAAGGTTTAATCTGTGACTAACAGCTATCCTGGATGTACAAAAGAAAGTAAAAAAATTAGTCTGTTCTTTGTTTTCTTTTTTTGTTTAGGAAAAAGTACCTGCATATTTGGCAACATCTCCAATACCCACTGAAGACCAGTTTTTCAAAGACACTGACAATCATTTGAAATCAGATGAAAATGAGAGGACATGTGTAAACTCAGAAATTCCACACCCTGTGGAAACAGAGACTGTGTTCACCCCAGGTTCTGTGAAAAAGAAAAAAAGAAGAAGAAAGAAATACAAACAAGATAGCAGGAAGGAAGATCAGATCTCTTCTGCTGGGACGGAAGAGATTTTTGAAATGGAAATAAGCTCAGATGATGAAAAAAGTGTTCAACCCCTAAGGTAAACTGTCAGTCCTTTGTGACTGCTTTCACTGTTATCACTGAACATTTAAAAGGTGACTTGTACCTTTTCTCTATGCAAGGAATGCATGTTTCAATAGGCTATGGGTAGACTTTTCCTCAAACAAACAAAACTGCAAACCATTATATTCCACATCTTTACAGATTCCTTCAGGTTGGGCCATTCTGTTATGAACATGAAATCAAATTAAGCCCATTCGAGTGAAGAAGCATTATCATGATCTGTCGTGTGACTGAGAAGTTTCAGTGTAATTTCTTTGATGAAGCAGAGTGGTCTTGTAGTGTGTTTGGTAACTTCCACATAAGCTGCAGTGTGGGACGCCTGTAGTACGCCACATCTGAACTTGACTTCTCTGTACTTTGGAAACTGAAAGCTACAGAAACGAATGCTCCTTCGCATTAGTAAAGAGAATTTTTTGCATGTATGTAGTCATAAAGCAGGGGGGAGTCAGCCTTGTATTTTGAAGTGGATAAACTACTAGTAAAGTAGAGCTTGCAGTAAAGTGGTAGCACATACTAATAAGCTGAAGAAACTTATATGAGTAATAACTTTCTTCTGTAACTGTAATCTTTCCTATCAAGCAAATTAATGCTTATAATCCAGGAAAGGCTTACTCATCAGTTTTCTGTGGAAGTTTCTCAGGCTACTTAACAAAAGAAGTTGACTTAGTTTTTAGACAAAGCTAGCGGCTTTATCGGACAGCATTACTGTTAAATGTGGTACTGTCTGAAGAAGTTCAAGATCTTGTCTGGGAATTGGAAGAATGTTTTGGTATAAGAGAACAGATTATAACTGAAAAAACTCCTTTGGTGTGGGTCTTCAAGGGAGTCTCAGATTAAATAAGAACTGGTCAAAAAGGTTAGTGCCAACAGAAAAACGGGAATCTGTTAAAAACATGAATTTGTTATCACACCTATGACCAATAAAACACAACAAATAAAATTTGGATTTTCAAATGTTTTCTAGAATGTCTGTGGCTTTCTTAGTTCATTCACCTTACTTTTTTGCTGTCATTTGTGTCAACAAATTGTCATTTAGATATTTACTGCTATTTTGAAATCTGGGAATTGGCATGTTTGGTTTGAGATTTTTTTTTCTTCTCCTTTTTTTCCACTTTTAGAAAAACAAGATCTTTGTTCAGTCTTCAGTGTGAAAGTATTAAGACAACAATAACTTGTCATAGTGAAACCACCAAAAATATTTTTAAAAATAACCATCAAGTACAGGAAGAGAGGAAGATATAACCCATGAATTGTTTATTCTTTATTTAATAAATTATTACAAATGTATGAAGAATTTAAGCATGTCATGACAATAATGGCTGTTTTCATCCAGTGTTCAGAATTCATATTGCTAATGTAGCAATTACCTTCATTTGACTAGAGATGAATAAAAGCTTGTAGGTTTGACTGAAATGTCAAATGTTTAGTCATAGCTGAACCATTGTGTTCATGTGACCATGGTGTTTCCGTAAAGGTTACTCTGCTTTGTGGGTTAGTTTTTTTTTTTTGGACTCTCTAGAATGAAAGATTGAAAAAGCTTTTTATTTGAAAACCACATTTTTAACATATATATATATATCTCTAAAGAGAAACAGCAGTAGAAATGCATTCTCAATCAGAGAAGAGTGTTATGATGTGAAAGGAAGAAAATTTTATAAAAGAATGCTTATTTATTGTGAATGGCAATTAAATGCAGGACTGAAAAAATACATTGTAGTGATGAAAGGCCAGAGACAGTAGATTTGTGGCTATGTGTCTGTTAGTGAAGTTCATATACAGTTGTTGCAGTGACCTACCAAGGCAGAAAATAAAATGCCTTGCAATAGGCATACACTGTTTTCTTCTCAGCTAAAGAGATGTGAAAAAAGATTCGTAAGCTTTCTTTTCACATCCTGCAGGGATGTAAGGTGACATCAGCTGCTTTGTTTTGTTTTGGAGTTTTTTTTGTAGTTATAAATGCATGATTCTTGGGGGGAAAAAAAAAGATTAAAAAAAGAAAGAAATAGAAACTTAAATAACTGTTATTAGACATAGCTTCAGATTTCAAAGTGAAACTGAGACAGAAAAAGGAAGGCTGATGTTCCAACAGGAAGGTCAAAAATTCAGCCACAGATACCATTATGTACTGTCTTATCTAGTTCTATTCTTATAAAGTGAAAAATAAGCTGTTTCCTGTTCCTTGGGAAAATCCATTTCCAATTGTTTATACAAGTTCTTTAAAAATATCTCCTTTGGCTTTTCTCGCTATGATTTTTGGTATGTTAGTAGTGCTTGACTTACCTAAAATAATACCAGGAGGACTGAGATTACAGTGTGTACACTCAGAAATAGAGGGCATTAATTCTCCACTGCTAATGGTGTTAAAGAGTTAAAGTAGTTATCTGTCTCTAAAATCTTATATATTTATTTTACATGTTTATTTAGACCATGTATAAAGTGGATAGGATGAAAAAAACTGATAGCACTGTTTATGAATGTTATGAAGTGAATAGCTTAGAATTGATAGTGCAACTCAAAGTTATAAGTTAATGCATACTGATTTTTCCCTCTTACTTTCAGTAATCTTTGACTACATTTGGATTTTTAACCTTCAAGTTTATCCATTTATGGATGAAATTTAATTTTTTTTTTGATGCTTCATATGAACTCATTTGGTTGCTAATTTCCACTGAATAAAATCTGTTCAGTACCACCTGTGTGTCATCTTGCCCCCTCTGAAGTCAAAATATTGAGGATGTCTCTGTAATAATTTTTTAATATGTTTCCTTAATTATTCAATAATACTTTTTTCCTCTTTTGGAGATACTTAGCACTGGATATAGTATATATATATAGCTTGGTTTATGAATATGAAGGATGGACAATCTCTGCAGGTCTCATCTCAAGTCAAGCTGTTACCATCGTGTTTCATAGTAACAGAAGTGGAGCTATTAAGACATATTTAGGGTTCAGTGTTTAACATCATCTAGTCTTCCAAATGAAAGACTTCCATAGATAGAGGTAGATCACTGTATCTGCTTAGGGTCTTTGGGCTGTATTAAGTAAGCATGTAAATTCTAAATATTTATGTATTTTAATAGATAATGTTAAAATATTTTCTTTTGTCTGTACATAAGAGAAATTAGTGTTAGCATTCCAAAAGAAGTCCAGTGCAACCGTGCTGCTAATGGAAGAAAAATGCTTTTTCTTTTTTCTTTCATATAATGGCTTGAAGAAATTTGTACTGCATTTTACATTCAAATTTCAGGCTTATTTTCCTTCTATTTTATCCACCGTGTAGCCATGATGCCCCTGATCTAACCTCAAAACCGGTTAGTTGTATCCTGAGAACAGCTATTTATTCTGTTAAATTCAGCAAGCTGGAAAATGATTTGGAGTACTTACGATGGAAATATTTAAAAGGGACTTGTGTGTAAAATACAATGCTTGCCTGCTCAGTGCGTCTTACTGTTGGTTGCGTTTTGTTGTTTGTTTTTTGAGGGTTGTTTTTGGTTATAGATACAGAGCAGACTTCCCTGTGTAAAGCAAACCCCACTGCTAGAAAAGCGCTTTTTACTACTTCTTGTAGTTCATGTTAATTTGTAAATTCTTGGGTAAATTGTGAGGCTAGTACTTACCCCTATTTTCGTACTGGTGTTAATTTGTAAAATATGCCGTCAAAAAGTGCATTGTCAAAACTCCTTTTTCTATTTAATTTTTTCAGTTTTTCTAGGGTTTACATAGTAAAGGTTATGTATGAATCTCTGTTCATCTTTGGGTTTTGATTAATATCAGCTGGCTGTATAAACTGATATCATTTATGCTGTTGTGATTTCTTCAATGTTAACTTACATGTCAAGAGTAGTAGTTTTTTAACAGTATTTTCAAGTATTAATAGTTTTTATATCTATTATAAGTTATATAAAGATGTGTTGTAAACAGTGAATTCTTCACACTACACAATTCTTTCTTTTGATCTTGAATTTTTAATAACATAAGTAACTTTTCCAGCTGAATTAGTAATGCAGATTTCTTGTAGCTGACTTAATGTCCCATGTATCTCAACAGAGGATCTTCAAATTCATCACCAAAGGGTGAAGAACAAAAAGAATCTTTGATTTATCACTCAAAGGATCATTACCCCCTATCTGATGGAGACTGGTCCCCTCTGGAGAAGTAAGTCACTTTGTAATGTCATCATAGGTGTAAGGATGAATAATTATTACAAAATTAATATGCATTTTTAGTCATATTTTTTCCTGATCTGTCAAACTATCAAACATGCCTAAGTTGTGATATCAAATACTCCTTTTGATACTTGGAACTTTTTGTCTTTTTGTTTTTTCTCTCAAGTGAAAAAAATCTTTCTTATTAAAATTCACTATTAGAGAAAGAAAATACAGTATATAAGATTTCCTTAGGTTAAGAAGGGTATGGAGACTGAATATGTTCCCTGTCTTTCACCCTAGTGTAAGTAACATTTGATATGCCATAAAGCAGAAGTGTTGAGTATGTAAGTTAGAATTTGCCAGGTGAAATAATGCAAATTACTTGAGGTAAAGCTAGGTCCTTCCCTTGAATCATAGAATTGTCTAGATTGGAAGGGACCTTTACTAATTACTGGAGTACTAACTGATACCAGAAGCGGTATCAGTTGATCGTGGATTCTTACAAATGATGTAATACAGCCCAGCAGTCAGTTTTCAGTTATAGTGACTAGGGGACTTCTGTTTATACGTACAAGCTCTTCAGTTTCTAATGATCATGCTATTATATTCCCCTTGCATTCAGTTTCTAGATTTTTCAAGACTCACCCTTTGAATTTCACCACTCTAACATCAATCTCTGTTTGCTCAAGAAAGCATTCTGTCCCTATGTGGTAGTACTTGAGGTGAATTTCATACTTTTCCTGAACATTAGGTATGGGGAAGGGCATATATATATAGCACATAGCATGCTAAGCAGTGTCTTGATTCGTCTTAACTCTTTGGTGAGTGTCTGGTTTTACTGCTTTTCAGAGGACTCTGTTCTTCTGTATCAGTAGATGGTAGTACAGAATGGAAGAGAGAGATTCAGCAGATACTTCTTGAGGTGCATAAAATCCCTCTGCTTCGGGTGTTTGTAGGGCTGTGGCCTCAGTAGAATCAGAATATACCACACCATGGTTGGTGCCTGCTAATTCCCACAGTGCATACTTTGTTAATGAATAGAAGCAGTTGGACAGGAAATCCCATTATCATTCCTTTTTATGCTTTGGGCTGCCAACCACATCCTTAGTTGTACTTGATGAGATGTAGTCTTCAAACGTTCCCCAAAGGTTTGTGGTTTTGTGACTGTAGAGCAGTCAGTGTTTGACCCTGAGGATTGACACGGTGTTGTATGGATTATATACCCTAGATAATTGTAGCATAGAGGCTGATACTCCTTTCCAGTTCATAAAACTCTAGCTAACATAGACCAGCAGGCTATATCTGGGAGATACAATTCATGCCTCTCTTCTTGTTTAAATATTAGGGGATAGTCTGCTCTAACAACTTGTTTGTGCATCGTGTGAGATACCTAGGCTATAGTTTGGGGTTTTTTTAACAAGAAGAACAAGAAGCTAGCCAGTACAAATTGCGGTGTAACAGAGAAATGGGCAATGTTCCTTTCCCCCTTTTTTT